CGCCGCTCGGGCGGCCGCGCGGCCCGGCCGCGAGCGCGGAGCCGAGCCGCCGCGGTAGCGCTTGGGCAGCAGCGCGGGACGGAGGGGCAGCATCCCCCCAGCAGCGTGGTCAGCGCCGAGCGCAGGAGCTGGCACCCAGCAGGGCCGGGCTGCTCCGCTCCGCCGGCAGGCTCCCGTCTCCGGGAACGTCAGCCGGGGACGAGCTACGTTTGTGAACCATCAGCCCCCGCAGGAGGGGGGTTCGGGGGGCGGGGGGCGCACTCGGAGGAGCCACCACAAGCGCGCTCGCCCCTGCGACGGAGGGAGGGCGCGTGCGGCCGCTCCCCGCCGCTGCGCTGTCGCGCCGAGCCCGCTGCGCGCCGGACCGCGCCGCCTCCCGGTGCCGGTGCCGCCGGTACGGGCGGGCGGAGCTGAGGCGCAGCCCTCCCTCCCCGCCACGGGAACGACCCTCAGCCCGGGTACCAGGGCGGCGCGCTCCCGCACGCACGCAGCTGGTCTCCGTGGGCGCGCACGGCCCCGCGCCGGCGAACAAAGCGCACGGCCGCGCCGCAGCCCCTGCGCCGCCCCCGGCCAGGGACTCCCCCGGCCTCGCGTTTGCGCCCACCCGCGGCCCGGGCTGCTCACCGCCTCTCGAGGTTTGCCCGGCCGCGGCTCCAAAGGCGCTCAGACCCAAGCTGGCCACGGGGTGCTGGGAAGCACCGTCGCCCCGTCTGCGTTTGTTTTCAGCTCCCAACAATAGAACAGACGTGGCAAAGACACCAGCGCTAGATTTCTACGCACAGCAGACCCAAAAGCTGATGTCTACACACTTCACAGATCTGCGAGTCTCATTTAAAAAACACAATCGGTGCTGCCCTTGCCAGTTACAGACCAATTCTCAATAGCCTTGCGATTGATCCCATCGTCCTCTTGCCACTGCCACCAGAAGCCCCTAGACCAAAGCGACCTAACTTGCTCAATTCAGTGTTTGTCCACCAACCAGACCGTCGGCAATACTTAACCTAAGGTTGAGACCCGGGGAACCTAATAACTGAATTTACACTTCATTCAAGGCAAACAGCTGGAAATGTGCACAAGTTTCTAGGACTGCAAAACATAGCTTCCCTCCCAGCCAAGTTTCTAGGCAGACTAGCATTTTATCACAGATACCAACTATGAAAATGAAAAATGAACACTGCTTTTTCTTACAAAAAGAATGCTTTTAAGCAAACTGATACCTGCAGCTGCATATAAGCATTGGTGAACAGTCCTAGGCTCTCGAGAGACAAGCAACATTCAAAATTTTGCAATGTTTGGCCTTACACCAGCTGCTCCCACTTCCACAGCAGAGCATTACAACAGATGAAGCCCATATGTACTCAACCATAAACATTTCCCAAGCAGTTTTGTTTGTTGTTTTTTTTTTTTTAACAGAGCAAAACCGAGCAAAATTATCTCCTGTATGTCAGTTTGAATGTATCAACACCAATAGGACAAATATGAATACTAAAATAATGATGTTTTGAAAATTTTCAAATATACCATGTATTGTGATGCACGAATGCAGCTGTGACTTTCAGAGTATTAGTCGTAATAACAAGCCATTACCAAAGCCAGTGCAATAAATGTATCAGTTTCACATTTAGCTGAAACCCAAGTGTCTCTTTGTGCATCCCAGAGGCATCTGCTGGCAACCTAAAGGGATAAAAGAGAGAAAGTTACAAGTGAACCTCTATACATCAGTTTTACTATTTATTTTTAAAGAACACCCAACATTATCTAAATGCTAATTAACCATATTAGGAGAGTTAAAACTATTAACAACAATGCAAAAGTTGAATAAAATTAACAATTCCTATTCAATGTTAAATACATGTTCTTGCTTCACAGTAAAGCTCCCACACATATAGATCCAAAAATCTCAGCACCAAATCCCCAATTCTCTCTTCACTTGTTACAATTTAACATACAGTAAGAGCACCCCTTCAAAAGCAACTGAATGTCAGTGTGAATAGACATCAGTTTTGGGAACATATACAACCAAGAAGTCACATCCCCCACTCCTCCACCTCCAGCTTACTCCAAGCTACTTGTAAATTTATTGGACTCTCAGCCTTTTTGATAAAATTGTTTTCAAAGCTAAACTGTGTGAATTGGTGGCTGGAATAAACATATTCCTTGGGAAAAAAACGTTAACTTGGACCACTTCACCAATCTGTCTGCACCTACAGCTCCTCAGTCAAAGCACCCCTTAAGAGACAGCGTACTGTGAGATGGCACCAGAAAAGCACGTAGATGCAGGCACCTCACAAACTGGATTTGGTACTGAAGCTGAACCCTTCAAACATTGTTTCATGTAACTCACTAAACATAGGTTGGTTTCAATCAGACTTTAACAACTGATGATGAACACTCCAAAGCAGAAGTGCTCTTTCACACTCTACTAGACAGATAAAAGCATTCTAAATGCCAATGGGAGGTCCAAGCTAGTTGGAATACTAAATTTATACACCGACACAGCAAAATCTAGAATCCTTTTATTTTAGGTCTTCCAAGTTCAGATGACTGGTGTTAATTTGAAGTCCCAGGAGCATGTCTGGTGGCAGCTGCAGTTACCATCCCTTTCTTTTCCACCCTTCTGTTCCATGACACCCCACACTACAACGATATAGCATTTTGCATGGAATGTGAGAAACCAAATGGAGATCCAAGTACACCGGACAAAGAAAAACAAAATTCGCTGAGCTCATGCAATTGTACTGGCACAGCAGGCCGTGGAAACAAGTGGGTGACAGGAAAGTGCAGCTGGGGCTGTTTACCACTTACTGAACCCATGAAGACAACAACCTTCAGAGAGTTAGGCAGAATCATAGCAGCACCTTGAATTATCACCTGGGATACTATTACCCATAAAGAACATAAAAGCTTCAGGAGCACCTCAAACAAGTTAATCTGCTGAAAATAAAAGAACACCTAGGAGATAACACACAGTTCTAAAAGTTGTTTTTAATTTTCAAAAGGTGTAACATATAATATGTTTGCTTACAATCATTGCCTGATTTGCCTTTTCCACAATTAGCACTGATACCACATACTTATAACGGTCATAGTCCAATTCCTTCACAGCATTTAATATTTCTTCTGAGATTGAAGCACACAAGAAGGGACTAGAAGCTCCATCATATGTGGCTTCTTGTAGTTTATTCTATCAAAAACAATTTTGAAAGATCTTAGTTTTCATCCTAGTAGTCTTTTGCATAAAACACCCTTAACAGTAATTTTCATCACAAGAACATGAGCAGAACTGGTGAGTTGAACAGTCAGTACAGATGATGGTCTCAAACAGCAAAGGATGCACTTCTTTTACTCTGAAACGTTTTATCTGTTTTTTTAAAGGTGACACACAACCAGTCTCCATTGGATTGGCCCAGCCAATCTCCATTTAACAATCAGGAGTGTACTCTTCATTATTTGGGCTCAGTTCACTGGAAAGCAGTGCTACAAATATCTGTTCCAAATACCCAAGATATGTCTTCCAGACAACAAAATTAAAAAGATCTGGTTATAACTGTTAAAAATACCACTAACAGCTTTGGATTATCTCAACAAATTGTTTTCTTTCATATTTGCTTGATTTGTGTATGCACCAGTCTGACTGTCAAGGATACCAAGTAATTTTATGCAGATCCTGTGATATTAGCAGAATTAATAGAAATCCACAAATTTGATGTCATGATCTTTTGCTAACTGGACATTTTGTGGATTATGGTACTTTGAACTGTGCTGTAGCTCAATTTGATTTAAAAAAATGCAAGAGTTTATGAAGCTTCAGCTCCACCTAAAGAGCACATGCTCAGCAGTGACCTTGCAGAGGCCCTTCTGCACTTTGCAAAACAGAGTACATTCACATTACATTCAGGTGCCAAAACTCAAAAGACTGCAGAGATGTACGCATGTTTAAGTTTATGCAATATTCACTATTCCATAAATACTTCTTCCAGACAAGCTAATTTTGCCATGAGACAAGTAACTTAAATAATACTATACCGTTAGTATCGCTTGAGCTTTGTCTCTTAATAAACCATCCTGAACTTTAGTACGTGGCTCCAGTCTGTACGTGTTACGGTTTTTTGGCTTTGCCTTTCCTTCTGTTGGAGCCGTGCCTGAAGCATCCTGAGGTGCTTTTTTTCCTTTTGACTGTACAAAAGAGTAAGAAAAAATCCACATCACATGTCAATATTTTAGAATTTAAAGACTTATATACTTTATGGTGTACAGCTAAGAGAAAAAAAACCCCAACAATTAGTCTAGGAATATGTTAACAAAAACCACAGAAAGCTAGAAGCTGGTTATCATCTTCTGGCTGTTTCAACACTACTGTTTTGCCTGAAATAGGAGAAATGGTTGACTTCCACTCAATTTTAAATTCTTTTCCAGCGAAATCCAACTGAACTTTTCATTTAAGCTCATCAATCAGATACACCATATTTCCACACTGAATCCACTCCCTTTTCCAAGGAAAAATACACAGATATTAATGTACCCATGCAAGACTGTTAGCCACAAGTTCAAGCTTCTCATTCAAATAGCCTACACAATACCCAAAATAAGACGTGGTTCATTTACTACTTCATCTTGCTCGTCCTTGCTCCTTGTTAGTAAAAATAGTAGGTTATGTAATGATGATTTAATTTGCTCATTAAAAAAAAAATAAAGGAAAAAGTAAGCTCCAGTGTGCAAAGCTTTGTAATTTTGCTTTGAACTTAAAACCAGATCTCTGAAGATTGCGTTTTCTCCCCATTCAGCTGTGTACTCTATCTCTTCAACACACATAACAAAACTTGTCCCTCTATGAATGCAAGTCTAATGTTGCAAAAGAAAGTCACCTGCTGTCCACCATGATGGCTTAACACAGACCTGTAAAATAGTAACAGAGACAGAAAAACACAAGGAACCAATGAGATCATAACAAATGCCACAGGTAATGGTCTTCCATACCAGCTACTTCCTAACAAACCACTTCCAAGTTTCACCAATTTTTCAGTCTTGGCTCCACTTCCTGACTACTGCTAGAACCTAACATTGACAGAAAATCATTGGTTCCTTTCCAAGAGAGCAGAAAATAACTCAAAGGTGAAATAACATCACAATGCAAGGCTTATGCTAAGAAGTACAGAAAAAAAGTCACTTATGGATAATATAAAAGTCTAATGAGAATTATTTTAGAAAATGCACTACTAAAGGGCTCACAACTCTTTCCATCTGAGGAGTTTTAAGAACCTGGGAAGAAATGCAGTTTCTTCTCTATGAAATCACTTGCACGTTAGTTCTGTCAACAACTATGGACATTACCTAAAAGTGTCCTCTAATTCCTTAAAAGCAGTGATGTTGGCAGCCTTAGTGCAAATTGCCTGCTGGTGTTTGTTGAACTCTGAATAGCACTTACTCTGAATCACAAGGACCAAACACATTTGCACTTAGCCTGTGAGCACTCATTATCTACTAACTGCAAACTCAGATCTCAAAAGACTAAAGCCCTGACATGCTTATCACAAGTCACCTAACAGAAGAAAAACCACCTCAAGTCTTGCAGCTGAGGTCTTCAAATGAGAATCTCCATCCATGTGAGTAATAATGAACTTGTGAAAAAGGGTGCAGTCCAAACAGTGATTATTTGCTGACATGGTTCAGCTTGAGCCACACTACCTTCAACCTCTATCACTAATGATGGAATAAAACTCATGTCTATAGCACACAACTTCTAACAATGGTGATACTTAAAAGTTTACCTGATATTTTTAGTGACAGGAGTTTTCACAATCACTGGCAAAAAGTCATTGCATTTACTAGTGAAGCAACTAAAAACCTTGATTTCTCTATACATGTGGCTAGTAAATAAAACTTCTGCTAGAAAAACTTCTGGTAAATAAACCTTTTTCTGCTAAAACACCAAGCTGTAGCACAATGTTGCAATTACGATTCTGTAAAATATTTGCACTCACTGTGAATAAAACTCTCAGAAGTTCAAGAACTGACTAGATTTGAACACTTGACCAAAAATGCCTGTTCTTAGGCTACTCAACTTCAGTACACTGGCTTATCTTTGGACATATGGAAGGAAGTATGCGAAAAGAAAAAAAAAGCTTTTGCTATTTAAATGAAATTCTGTTTGTTAGTAAGTCCATTTTAACAACCAATAGGTTTCAGTTGTTAAAACAAACTGGAAAAATTCTTGTTTATTGCTTCAGAAGAGGGTATGGCTTCTAGTTTAGAGCAGCACCCCGAATGGAGACTGCCCCACCAAAGGCAGGACACCCCTTCTCTTTACCATCACAGCAGCTCGGCCTCCCAGCGCCTGAGCCAGAACACCAGCCGCAGGGCACGCGTAACCACACCTGACCAAGCAGAAATAGCGCGAGCTATCCCAAACCGGGCGCTAACCAAGAAGGAACAGCATTCCTAATACCAATTTTCACAAGACCACACGCGCCTTTTAACCCGTCTTCTCCACGCCCCAACCTTCCCTCCCAGCTGAAGCGCCGCAGGCCCGGACCACCACTCCCGCCCCGGAGCCGCTGCCCCCGCTCCCGGCGGTGCCCCAACCCCGTCCAGCTCAGCCCCCTAGAGCCCTCCCCTCGCCCTGGCCACCGCTCACCGTGTCTTTATCCTGGCGCTTTTTCCCTCCCTCCATGGCTGTGGCGGCGGTCCTGCTGGGCGGCGTGCGGCTGCCCGGGCCCTGAGCGCGAGCCGGCCCGCGCGGGCAGCGGTAACGGAGGCGGCCATGGCGGCAGCGGTAGCGGTGCCGCCAGGCCGGGCCGGGCCGCGCCGCGGGGAAGGGCCGGCGCTGCGGCCTGCGGGCGCCGCGGCGGGGACGGGTCAGCCCTGCCCTGCTTCTGCCAGTGCCAGCCTGCTTTGCCTGCAAAGGTCACCGCCCTGCCCCTGCCTGGCCCGTTTTACATAAGTGATAGTAGTAAAGGATGGCAGAGGTCGTGCAGGTTTTGCTCTGGCCTTCTGTCTCTGGCAGTGTAAACTGTGAAACGGGAAGGGGAAGAGACAAAAATGAAGATTGACTGAATGATATGTCTTAGGAGCATTGTAGATTTTTAATTTTTTTTTTTCTTTAAATAGCAGGTAGGTACTCCTGATGGCAGCTAATAGCGGTTTTCGGTGGGAACTGTTACTCTTGCTTAGTGCTGATAGCTATGTGATAAATAGGTGTGATTCGTGCTGATAAAATTGAAACAGTAATCAATATGATATAAATATTTCCTCTGTCCTTGAAGCCATGAATTCAGAAAGTACATATGTGAGGGTCAATTCTGCCGCTTAATCAGAGGGGAAAAATGTTTTTAATTCGACTTTAATGGCATATTTATCATTATTATTAGTTGTGGTCCTTCATTATCAAACAACTTCTTGTCTCTCTAATGAATGAAGAAGTGTGACTCTTTTAACTAAATCAGGAGCATTTTCATCCTTGTTAGTATAGGCAGTTTTATCTGTGCAATTTTTAAAATTTAAATGTGTGCTTCTGAATCAGTCCATTTTTTCTGTTTAGACTAATGTGAAAATAGCATGAATGCTTAAATTACACTAACATTGATACAGAATTCACATGTTCTTCCGCTGCCTCCCTCCAGGGATCTTCCTGGTTTTAAGGACTGATACTCTTGGTTTACTTGAAGTAGCATCAGTTTCCCTGCAAGCTCAGATTATACAGAACATTTATGTACAAGCTGGGATATTTTGCTTCAGTCTGTATTGCCATGTTTTCAGTAGATGTAACCATTCTGAAATAAACCATCCTGACCTTGTGAAAACAGAGCAATGCTTTCCCTCAGTTTTATTACAGTGACTCTGGTAGAGAGTTCCTTTCATCACGTGTGTGAATGAAACTTGCATTGCAAACCCAAACAGCGTGTTTACAGACACTGTATTACTGTCTGCGTAGCTGTGCTAATGGGTATGTTTTAATATTTTTTTTTTGTTCTCATGTGCTTTCTTGTTACAAGAATTCTTTCTGTGTATGTGTTTGTTCTAGATGGCGTTGCCAGATTTGGTCACTACTTGCCTTTCTCAACCTGTGCATTATGCGATTTGCAAACTTGGATTTGAGAAGGAAGACACCTATGATATTAATAGTATTTTATGTGGAAATGGGGAAGTATGTTGGCAAGCTGTTACAGAGCATGTGTGTTATCTTGAATCAGGTTGGTGTTTACCTGCTGTAGTAGTGATGCATGTAAGACTGATGCAGACTTTCTGTATAGCCCATAGCAATCCTAGCTGAGTTGTGACTGTTACAGTACACTGTTAGCTCTGCTGTAGATTAGAGTATGTAGAGTTCATATCTACAAAGAACTTTAAATTTTTCATCTGTGTTTGGTATTTGGCTTTTGCTGGCTCCTAAGTTTTGTGTAATCTCTGCTACCTAAGTAGCTCCTACTTTGCCTTCGTCTTGGTTCCCAGCTTAATGTGCCTGTAACATAAGGGGTTCAGTTCTGCTTCTCTCCAACCCCATAACTGTCTTGTTCTGTGTTCTTTATATTCCTTTTGTACTAAATTTAAAATCCTGGGGCCATCAGTATTGCTACTGTTGCTTCTGTTTGTGTTTCCCAACTTTAGGTTGTACAGAAGTATGGTCTTGTTTCCCTTCTATGTGGAATAATTTGTAGTTGGTTTTTAACCAAAACAAAGTATTTATGTCCTGATGAATTAATTGAATTTTATTTTGCCAAATTTCATCATGCAAGCTCTGTTATTAATTTCCAGAGGTGGTAGAAATATCTTTCAGTAAACCATAAGAATTTGTTTTCCTATAAAAAGTGTCCCACGAAAAAGAGGCAGTGGTACCACTCTGTAAGGTACCGCATCCATCTGCCTTCTTTAAAGGCCATAAGTGGTGCAATTTGACTCTTGCTAAGCCTGCACTAGCTTCTAGATTAATATATGGGATTTCTATAGTAATTCTAGTGGGTCCTTCACATTTCAACAAAAGCAGAACACAATGATCCTATTTACTTTCATATTTTCTTGTGTTAAGTTTTTATTGGGGTAGAATTTTTGGGTTGTTTTTTTGTTCTGTTCAGAGAAGGTGCTTGATCTTACCTAGTTTTGCATTGCAGTTTTACTTTTCAATACCTTTTCTGTGTGGTGTTTTGGACAGTAAATTGTATTGTATTTGTTGCGCTAAAATAGTCAGGATAAAACTGTCTATACTAAATATGTACACAAACTGCAGCAGATTTTATCCCTAATGAGTTTTAAAATATTAGACCTTCAAGATGGTTGGTACCCTAATCACCTTCTGTTTTTCAATTTAAGATCAAAGCGTGGATTATATCAGAAGCATACGATCATTAGGACCTGTCTGTGAATCTGTTAATTCGTACTTCAAATCTCTGACCAAGGAGCAGTTTGTAATTCAGTATGTGTCGTGTTTCCACTGGACAAACTGCACAGAGGTATGGAAATTTCTGTTAAGTTTGCATTTTGGCACCTGAACTCTTTGTGGAAGTTTAGTGTGAGAACACAGAAGAGACATCCATGAACCAAAATACTTAGAATTTTTAACTAATTGTACTTCTCTGATAGATGGTTACTTGTAATTTTTCTGACTTTGTAATTAGATTTTGTGTTAGACAGCATGAGGAGCTTTGGGCCTGTTCTAACATTAGTTTGTAGTATTTTGTTTTTCTAATAGTCTGTGCCTAATGCCAGGTTTTACCTTGTAAAGTTATTATGGACAATTTTAAATATCTAAGGAACTAAACGTCAAGAGGTACTCTAGGGAAATTTCTCTTCAGCTAACTACACTTTCATTTCTTTGGCATAGTTTTCTTTCTACATTTGCATAGCAACTATCACAGAGGAATATTTACGTTTCTCTGTGCTATTGGCTATGTGAACTTTCCTCTTGAATATTGAACACAACAGTCTTCTTCTCCCCCATCATGCAGGTATTTCTGGACGTGTTTGATGTTTTACAATCTACACAAGCTACAGAGGTTGCTCTTGGCTTAATGAAACTAACATCATGCTTGGAGCGTGCCTTGGGTGACGTAAGTGCCAGCATGAGGAGTCTATCTTGGCTTTATAAGATGGGAATGAGCTCTTGGATTTAATTGTACATTGAAAAAAGTGATATTACCCTGTTCTGTAGTAGTACACTAATAGCCCGCATGCATTTTGAGTTGGACAGAGGTTCTTTCCTGGATCCAGTTGTGCTGATGGAAACATATGTGGGGCTCCTTCACCAGTGCTTGTGGAGTTGCTTGTGCATGTGCTGTTACTAACTAATTTAATTGGGAAAGAGAAATGTTTGATTGATCACTGTACACAGTAGGTCTTTATTAGTTTGATTTATTTAACTGAAGTAGGGTAGCATAGCTTCCACAGAAGATCTGATGGTGTATTAACTTCTGTGAGGGTGGCATGCAGTTGGAAAAACAGGCGACTGGTAACTTCTTTCCTAGGGAGAAACAGCTACTTAAACAGTTTATCTCCTGGGCTGTTTTACAGGCAGGTAAATTAAAATGGGTAGTTGTTCAATATCTGTGAGGAGCTCTGGAGAAGGAAATGACAGAGAAAGAGCAGTGGGATAATTCACAATCCAATTTGCCCAATTGTGGGGCATGGTAAATTTTTCAGTAAAACAAATCACCAAAGATTGGAAAAAAATGTCAGGTAGAGTGAGTACAAAGAATAGAAGGTGTGGTAGCAGTTGAAACTTGAGATGCTAATATTGTCCAACAAGGGTAAAATGTCATTTAAATAGCAGTCTGAATCAGAAGATGAACCCAAAATCTTCTCCCTTTCAGAGTGACAGACCCTTTGTTTTTACAATACAAATAAATTTGTATTGTAAAAACAAAATACACTGTAGAGCTCTTGGTAGAGCTTCTCCCCTTAATTAGGTGTTCTTGTTGTGTCTAACTGGTTTTTGTGGGATTTTTTGGAAAAGAAAAGCAGTATTAGTACAGACCCTGTGAAAAGCCTAACTATGGTCACATTAAGCAAAATATCCACTCTTTCCTGATATGTTGTCTAAATTTTAATTTGTCGTGAAATTACAGAATTTAAAGTCTTTTTAAGGATTTGGTGGGTTTTGTTTCATTAGTGTTTTTACAATAATGAAAAAGGTTATTGGGTAAAATAGTCAAGGTATATATTTGAAATACAAAGAAGTATACTAAATTATTTATTATCTGTTCTGCTCTTTTTTCTTAATAGGTGTATTTACTTAAGGGTAACGATTGTCCTTTCCTTCTAAGAGACTTGCTTGCATCTGAGCAGCTTGCAGATGTCTTTGGACAAGCTGTAGTAAGTACATAGTTTTGAAATAAGGAATAACTACTGGGCTGGTTTTCTTCCTACTGAATGTACCTTGTGTTAATTTGCATTAAATTACACTGAATTTATACTACAAGAACTAAGAGCTAAACTTGATCTCATTTTTTTGCCTTTCATAACTGTTTGGGATGTCTAATAACTAGTTTGATTCTTCCCGTATTATATTCTGTCGCCTTGATTTTGTAAGACTTTGTTAAGCCTTTTAATGTTTGCATTCTTTCAACAAACTTTTTCACACACAGTTCTGTAAATAACTTATGTTTTGCATTCTTTCATAGAAGTGAAGAAAATTAATGGACCCTTGGTCTGTCCAGTGGCATTGGAGAGGTGGCACTGTCACCCTCCAATCCACTGTCACTTTTGGAAAACTATAAATGTTGGAGTCAGAAAATAAAGTTCTTCTTCTTTTTCCTTTTTGTTCCCCTCAAGAGCAGCAGTGTCTGTGTCATCATTTTGTGCTGTATCACAACAACATTCTATATCATGTACAAATAAGCTGAGAGATTCTCCTTCAGAGAATACTGGGAATTGCAAATTATGAGTTTCTGTTGCTGTGACAAGTGGTGGCCAGTCATCTTGAGA